GGGGGGGGGCTCGGCTCCTGTGCCCGGTGGTGGGGTCGTTGCCGCGCCTGCATCCCCTGTGGTTCCCCCGCCTTCGTTGCCCTGGTCTGGGGGAAGCCTAGTCCCAGCTGCTGGGGTCATGCCCTGTGGGGTTCCGGTGTTGGGCCATTATTGGGATGCCCGGGTGCTTCCGATCCTGCGGTGCTCATCCACTGTCTGGGTGTCAGGAGTGAAGGAGTGTGTTTATAGGGTGCCGGATAGATGTCTCAGCCGAAGGCGCCGCCTGGTGGCCGGGTGTCCCCTGACACGTGGGTGATTTGGAATGCGTACTGCTTGCACTTTCCGATATACAAGTTTCCGGAGTAATATTAGTTGACGTCTTGCGCACGCTGCTACGCCGTGCGTGGATCCGCTGCCGCCGTGAACTCGACATCCCGCCCTGCGGTGCGGGAGTCTCCCTCTAACGTCCGCCTCTGTTTTCGTCACTCCTCTCTCTACGACCCGACACATCTAACACTTTTGACTTTCTCCTCCTCGTCTTCCTACATCTGTCCTGGTGCAGTCATCGGGAGGGTAAACCCTTTATGCAAACTGCACCTATTCTCAAGAAGAAGAAGAATTAGGCTGCTCTGAACTCGATTGAACTGTATGTATGTCTATTGTTGCTTTGCAGTCCGCTCCAACAGTATGTAACAAACTTTAAGAAACACTTAAGCAATCACTTAAATTACTGGCGAGGTGAGACGCTTCTTAATAAAACAATTTTAATTTCTTTTTTTATTATCTTGTGCAATAATAATCAATGCCAGTCCCTGAGCCTCTTAGTCTCACGAAACATGTGGATCCACCATATCCGTTACTCTCCCACGTCATCACAAACGGGCAAGAATAGACAATCATAAATACAACGCCAATGTACATCCTGGACGCGTTGTGTAGCACTGCACTATATGTGATTACGTTGTCTCTCTCACCACTCTTGGTGTTCCTTGGCTGGTAATATAATAAATTAGTTTAATAAACGGCCCAGCAGGCAGGGTAGATGTAGGCGCGGCTCCCAGGGAGAGTGCTTCCATAAAATGTCATACACATATGTCGTATGTGGTCGAGATTGGTTTAGTACACTATTTTGCCCATTGCGCTGGACACAATGAAATCAGAGTAACATCACAGGTTGTATTAAACACGGTTTCTTCCCCCATATCCATACCCCCCCCCCCCTTCCCCTTTCCCTTGCCTTGCCTGTTGACATTACTTCATGTTAGGTGTCCACACCCCCCCCTCCCCCGGGGGCAGGAATAAAGGCTCGCAAACAAAATACTAAGACAGGCCTGAACCACTGAAGGTAGAATGGAACACTTGAAGTGTCTCTTAACCTACCCCTTCCCCACCAATACATAAGAAAATCCTCTCTAACTTTACTCCAAACAAAACCTAATAAGTGGGGCAATAGTTGGAGGCAGTCCGCGCACCATTACTCCTCTTCACTCTCAAAACTTTCAAACAAAAAATACACACGGTTTTATCCAACTATGGGACACGAGTCGGTGTAATAAGTTTTGAACATCTTGGTCGACCGTGGAAAGTTTGAACAGAAAGTTTGAATCAAACTATTAAGTGTGAAGGTGTGAGGTTGCCTGAGCCAGCTGGAGGTGGTGCTGATCTCAGCAAGCCTCGGGGGTGCGTAAGTCCGCAGACGTTGCCCGAAACACACTGTATTAGTGGCTTTAGGCATACAATGTACTAGCTCTATCAAGAAATCCAACATTGTAACTCATCTTGTATGTATGTACTTTTACCTGAATAAACTTTATCTTAAGTGGTTCCATGTTGGTGTAAGCCAGTTACAGCCCCGCTCCTGTAACTGGTTCTTATTACCACTTAACGTGGTGGAGGTGGGGGGTCCCTTGAGTGTTTCAAGCGTGGGTTAGACATGTATATGAGTGGGATTGGGTGGTTATGAATACACAGCCCCTCTTCTGTGCCAGGTAAGTCCACTACGGGCTCTCCATAGCCCGTACTGCTTGGAACTTTTTGTTCCCAGTAGCTAAATCTAAAACGTGTTATAATCATATGTAAATTTAAGTATTACTGGGATATAAATATAGTCCAGTTGTGTAAGTGAGAACGGAATGAGTCAGTGGGAGAGACCTTGGGGTAAGAGGAGGCCTTGGGGAAGGGGGGGGGGAAGAGACCGTCGGGTAGGGGTAGGGATGGATTTAGGTAGTGGGGAGGAGGGGGGGAAGCCATCAACAGTGTTGGCAACTTGGAGTAAGAAATTGCTGGAGGTTTGAAAAAGCGTCAACGTTTAATGTAATTATGCTTCTTAACTGTCCAGTGTATTAATTTACACAGTCTCTGTGGCGTAGTGGTAACACACTCGCCTGGCACTTCGTTTTGTGTGTGTGTTGTCGCCTGAGGCGGCTAGTTTATTGTGCACCCCATACTCATCCTGTGAGCGGTAGCGCAAAAAGCATTACAGAGGGCACAAAAGGTCTCTATCAGACCTCATCTCAGATTATTACATAAACAATTTCATCTATCCTTCACACCTTATAGTTACAATGTCAGCTAGTTACAGAGTTGTGCTATTTCAAGAGCTATATATTTACAGTAAGTCATTATACATTAATGGTAGGTCTTATCGCTAATACATAATAGTTTGACCAATGGAGATATTACAGTCATAGGGGCTACCTTGAGGTGCTTCCTTCCTTGAGGGGAGCTTCTGTTTATTATTAGTCTTCACAATACACTACTTGTTTCTTCATCTCATATGTCGTTTATCTACTGCGAGCGAAATATGGATACAGTGCAAGGATTTCAGGTAATTTATCCATGGTAATAAGATAGGTTGCCATATCATATAGCGTGAGCTTAGATTTATCTCTAAATGGCTCAATTTTACTACAGTCCAAGATATAGTGTTCGAGTGTGTGTCCCTGTCTTTGTCCACACACTTTACACTTTACTTCATCTAGATCCCTATACAAGCCGAACTGCCAGAGATACTTGTAGCCTAGTCTTATAAGAGCTGTGACAACATCTGTTAGTCTACTGACTTTATTACTTGCCCCATACACATGTTTTACTTCACACATTTCATTGTGAAGAAATTTTCATTTTCATCCATTGTGATGAACAATGAACCTGCTAGTTCCAGTTTGCACTGTTCTACTTTCTTCAAATTCATCCAGGAGTTCTCGTCTAATGACACTTTTAAGGGACCTATTTGATAACTCAAGATTCCGTTCAATACTGTCTTTATATACTGCCTTAGCAAGGGCGTCAACTTTGTCATGTTCCTGCAGGCCAATGTGAGAAGGAATCCACAATTTTATATTTACCCTCTTGCTAAGTATTCTTATATATATATCTACGTCTAGCTTCCAAGACAAGCACGTTATTACTTGATTGCAAACTGTTTATTGCTCGTAGTGAGGATAGGGAGTCGGAAATAATTAAGCTGTCTACTTCAGTGTTGTCAATAATTTCGAGTGCTACCAGTATTGCTACCAACTCGGCTTGCATTGTGGACGCCCAGTTACTAATTCTTATATTCCTTTGAATTGTGCTGCCATCGGGCTGATGAGCAATAACAGCACTTCCTGCCCTCCCTGTGGCTGTATTGAGTGATCCGTCAGTGTATATGGTCTGTGCTCTATTAATTCAGCTTGTATATTGTGAGTGTTCTATGGTGCTTAATTTAGCAGCAAGCTGAGCATGAGGGTTGCTTGTGATTAGTTTCTTGGTGGGGTATGCAGGGGTTAGGACGTCAAAAGGTACTATCTACCAGGGTGGAAGAAAGTGCTGTACTCTTTCATCTGTATATACATCGTGCAGTCCCATCATTTTAATGAGTGGCTGTCGCTTTGTCATGGGTTCGTATCCTGGCCGGGGGGGGGGGGGGGGATGTACCGGGCGTCAATCCTTAAGTGTAGCCTCTGTTTAACTAACAGTAAAATGGGTACCTGATTAAACGATTTGGCGGGTCGGACACAGGGAACATAGGATCAAGGACCTGCCCGAAACTCAACGCGTGCTGGTGGCTGTACCAGAGTGTTAGAACTCTTGTATATCTAAATTAAAAAAAATCTGTACATTGCCTGTAAGTCTATACTTGGACGCCTGTTGACTTAAACTAGAACAGTAACCCGGCACTACTTCAGTAACTCTTTTTACGGTAATTTCACTGTCTAAAGTAACATAATAGTATACAAATATACTACATTAAAGTATTCCAGTTGTGTCGAGGTGGGGGGGGGGGGAGGTGAGGGGGGGGGGACACACAAGTGGGGGGGTGTGAGGGGGGAAGAAGGGGAATTGGAATGACTCACACCGAAGATAACTCCGGTTATTCCTTTCCTAAAAAACATCCTTGAATCCTTGATCTCTCGTGTTTATTGTCGACAGAAAAATGCGGGGTTTCCCTTGGCAAAGATTTACCACGTTAAACAAATCCACAAGGGCCGTGACGAGGGTTCGAACCTACGTCCGAGAGGATCCCAGACGCTGCTCTAATCGACTGAGCTACGACATGGTAGCTCAGTCGATTAAGGTTCGAACCCCCGTCACGGTCCTTGCGGATTTGTTCATTTGATACAACACGCTATTGTGATTTGTGTGTGTGTGTAATTTACCACTTTGCCCGCCTGCTTAAAACAGTGTGGGGACCCCCCCCCCCAGTGTGTGGACCCCCCCCCCCCCCGAGTGTGACCAACCCCTCTCGTCTTGATTTGCCACTACGTCTACAATCCAACCTTCTTAACCTAACTAGACTCTTGCGAGCCTAAGCAACCCACCCAGCCTATAAGAGTCCGATGCGCAGGAAACGCAGATATTGATAAGATGTCACATTTTGTAGGTTGCATTCGTAACGTTGGTTACCATAACGTTCAAAACACGACCTATTAGATGATTGGGACGGGATAACATTGACGTTGTAAGTAATCGTTGTAATTACAAGAATATAATGATAGAACTTGTCAGGAGAGAGAAATGATCTGATTAGCGAGTCTTACCTGGAGTAGTGCAGGGCAGGCTATGGTGGGAGGACAAGGCAGCGAACCTTGCCTGGAGCCTGCCTGGAGCCTGCCTGGAGCCTGCCTGGAGCCTGCCTGGAGCCTGCCTGGAGCCTGCCTGGAGCCTGCTGCAACACACACACGCAAACACAGGTCGCCACTATTGTGTATCGCCAAACACCTTGGGAATATATTTACTCACTGATGGCATATATTTCCCTATTATGTAGTAAATTATCCATTTGCGCGATATATTCACTGCTTTCAGAGCTTATAATCTATAATGTTATCTGTTGTGTCACCAACTTCCGCAAGAGGTAGAGCCAGGCACTGGAGTGAGTCTGGGAGATGTTCCTCTCCTCGGCTACCCTCACCACCCTCTTGTGACGTCTGCCTCTCCCCTCTCTCTCTCTCCCTCTCCCCCTTCCCCTCTCATTGGTTTGTTTACATCTGCGTGGAAGAGGTCCGGGACTCCCTCGTCTGCCTCCGGCTTAGTCATTGTTTATACTCGCATTCCAAACATGTGTTCAAGCGCTTGTCTCACATTTGTGCTTGCGTGCCAGTGTGGCCCACAGCTGGGGAGGAACATGTGACACTGTGCATGCCAGTGTGGCCCACAGCTGGGGAGGAACATGTGAAGCTGTGCATGTCAGTGTGGCCCACAGCTAGGGAGGAACATGTGACACTGTGCATGCCAGTGTGGCCAACAGCTGGGGAGGAACGTGTGACACTGTGCGTGTCAGTGTGGCCCACAGCTGGGGAGGAACATGTGACACTGTGCATGCCAGTGTGGGCCACAGCTGGGGAGGAACGTGTGACACTGTGCATGCCAGTGTGGCCCACAGCTGGGGAGGAACGTGTGACACTGTGCATGTCAGTGTGGCCCACAGCTGGGGAGGAACATGTGACACTGTGCATGCCAGTGTGGGCCACAGCTGGGGAGGAACGTGTGACACTGTGCATGCCAGTGTGGCTCACAGCTGGGGAGGAACGTGTGACACTGTGCGTGTCAGTGTGGCCCACAGCTGGGGAGGAACATGTGACACTGTGCATGTCAGTGTGGCCCACAGCTGGGGAGGAACATGTGACACTGTGCATGCCAGTGTGGCCCACAGCTGGGGAGGAACATGTGACACTGTGCATGCCAGTGTGGCCCACAGCTGGGGAGGAACATGTGACACTGTGCATGTCAGTGTGGCCCACAGCTGGGGAGGAACATGTGACACTGTGCATGCCAGTGTGGGCCACAGCTGGGGAGGAACATGTGACACTGTGCATGTCAGTGTGGCCCACAGCTGGGGAGGAACATGTGACACTGTGCATGTCAGTGTGGCCCACAGCTGGGGAGGAACATGTGACACTGTGCATGTCAGTGTGGCCCACAGCTGGGGAGGAACATGTGACACTGTGCATGTCAGTGTGGCCCACAGCTGGGGAGGAACGTGTGACACTGTGCATGCCAGTGTGGCTCACAGCTGGGGAGGAACGTGTGACACTGTGCGTGTCAGTGTGGCCCACAGCTGGGGAGGAACATGTGACACTGTGCATGTCAGTGTGGCCCACAGCTGGGGAGGAACATGTGACACTGTGCATGCCAGTGTGGCCCACAGCTGGGGAGGAACATGTGACACTGTGCAGGCCAGTGTGGCCCACAGCTGGGGAGGAACATGTGACACTGTGCATGTCAGTGTGGCCCACAGCTGGGGAGGAACATGTGAAGCTGTGCATGCCAGTGTGGGCCACAGCTGGGGAGGAACATGTGACACTGTGCATGTCAGTGTGGCCCACAGCTGGGGAGGAACATGTGAAGCTGTGCATGTCAGTGTGGCCCACAGCTGGGGAGGAACGTGTGACACTGTGCATGTCAGTGTGGCCCACAGCTGGGGAGGAACATGTGACACTGTGCATGTCAGTGTGGCCCACAGCTGGGGAGGAACATGTGACACTGTGCATGTCAGTGTGGCCCACAGCTGGGGAGGAACATGTGACACTGTGCATGCCAGTGTGGCCCACAGCTGGGGAGGAACGAGGACCTCTGGAGGTCACGGTGATGTTTGATAAAGTCTGAGACATTGTTGATTTTGTTTAATAAATTACGCAACTGGCTCTTCACTGTTGACTAAGCTAAGCAAACTTTGGGGTCCGGTTCCTGGACCCGTTTGATAGGTCTCGTGTACCTAGCTTTGTCACCAGTGTCCACAAGATGCGTATAAGGTCACCCGAGAACGCTGAAGGAGACGTATTAAATTCTTCATTTAATTATATGTATTTATTTGTATTCACAAGAGTTCTTACATACTTGTACAGCCACTAGCCCACGTAGCGTTTCAGGCAGGTCCTTAATTCTAATATTCCCCGGAATACGACCCGCCAAATCGTTTAACAACCAGTTATCCATTTACTGCTGGGTGAACAGAGGCTACAGTTCATTGGTGCCCAGTAAATCCTCAGTAATTCATCCCCGGCTAGGATACGAACCCAGGCTAAAGCACTCGCGAAGGGCCCAGTGAGTGTTTGATCACTGCGCCATGAGGACTGCCATTCCCACGGGGACGTTATTCCCAACTCTTCATTTAATCAGTTGTATCTTCAGGCAAGATCTCCGTCAAGAGGCGACTGATGACAGGAGAAGAATAGCACCAATAATTAGCGAGTCGGTATTCAGGTACAGTGTGGTTGATGCTGCAAATTCCAATCATTATGGACGAATCAGTTTTTTTGGTTTATTTTCCACCACAGTCGTGGCCAGACATTTACAGTGGTCACAGAATATATACATTTTCCTCTGACTATATACACATCCTCTGACCTCCATGGACGGGGTTAGAGGTCTGTGAGACAACATTGTGTGTAGGGAGTCTGTGAGACAACATTGTGTGTAGGGAGTCTGTGAGACAACATTGTGTGTAGCGAGTCTGTGAGGCAACATTGTGTGTAGCGAGTCTGTGAGACATTGTGTGTAGTGAGTCAGACAACATTGTGTGTAGCGAGTCTGTGGACAACATTGTGTGTAGGGGGTCTGTGAGGCGACATTGTGTGTAGCGAGTCTGTGAGACAACATTGTGTGTAGTCTGTGAGGCAACATTGTGTGTAGGGAGTCTGTGAGGCGACATTGTGTGTAGCGAGTCTGTGAGACAACATTGTGTGTAGCGAGTCTGTGAGACAACATTGTGTGTAGTGAGTCTGTGAGACAACATTGTGTGTAGGGGGTCTGTGAGGCAACATTGTGTGTAGTGAGTCTGTGAGGCAACATTGTGTGTAGCGAGTCTGTGAGACAACATTGTGTGTAGTGAGTCTGTGAGGCAACATTGTGTGTGTAGTGAGTCTGTGAGACAACATTGTGTGTAGGGAGTCTGTGAGGCAACATTGTGTGTAGCGAGTCTGTGAGGCAACATTGTGTGTAGCGAGTCTGTGAGACAACATTGTGTGTAGCGAGTCTGTGAGGCAACATTGTGTGTAGCGAGTCTGTGAGGCAACATTGTGTGTAGCGAGTCTGTGAGACAACATTGTGTGTAGCGAGTCTGTGAGGCAACATTGTGTGTAGCGAGTCTGTGAGACAACATTGTGTGTAGCGAGTCTGTGAGACAACATTGTGTGTAGCGAGTCTGTGAGACAACATTGTGTGTGTAGCGAGTCTGTGAGACAACATTGTGTGTGTAGTGAGTCTGTGAGGCAACATTGTGTGTAGCGAGTCTGTGAGACAACATTGTGTGTGTAGCGAGTCTGTGAGACAACATTGTGTGTGTAGCGAGTCTGTGAGACAACATTGTGTGTGTAGTGAGTCTGTGAGACAACACTGTGTGTAGGGAGTCTGTGAGACAACATTGTGTGTAGTGAGTCTGTGAGACAACATTGTGTGTAGTGAGTCTGTGAGACAACATTGTGTGTAGTGAGTCTGTGAGACAACATTGTGTGTAGTGAGTCTGTGAGACAACATTGTGTGTAGTGAGTCTGTGAGACAACATTGTGTGTAGTGAGTCTGTGAGACAACATTGTGTGTAGCGAGTCTGTGAGACAACATTGTGTGTAGCGAGTCTGTGAGCACTCCAGTTGACACAGTTGGTTATTTAGTTCAGCACCACGGTATGTGATGAAAGCGCTTACAAAGGTGAACTGCAATTCTGTAATGAAAAATCGTCTTGGATACAAATGTGGAGATTTGAGGGAATTAATAGATGTGCAGTGGAGGTGTAGAATCTGTGGTGAGTGACGGACGCCGCCTTGACCACTACCTGAGATATTGTGCACATCTTAGAGACATTACAAATGTGTAGAATAGCAGACGAGGAGTCACAATAACGTGGCTGAAATATGTTGACCAAACCACACACTAGAAAGTGAAGGGACGACGACGTTTCGGTTCGTCCTGGACCATTTTCAAGTAGGTTGTGTAGAATAGATAAGTGTTTTCCCTAACTCAGAGGGATTATTTGTCAAATATAGATGCTGTTCGTAAAAGATTCCCCAACTTTTGTGCCCGAAAAGATCACGCCAGTTTAAGGGTTGGTGACTGTTAATCCTGTCGTTGACATGTTCACCTGAGACAGTTAAGTCCCAGCTGTGTGCGCGTTTAGGTGACAGGATGAACAACCCAGCGGGTTTTCTTCCTATTGGGAAGTGTTGTACATGCTGCTATGGCGGTGTGTGTACACACCTATAGGACGAGTGACGCTGCCCAGTAAACTCGCCCTGCGGGGCAAAATTTGTGTAAACCAATTCAACTATTAATGTACAAACATTTATGAATAAAGTTATATAATTTGCACTTGAAACTATAAAGCTTGCCTCGCCACCCTGGAGACTCCTCGAGGTGATCATGGCTCATTCTCACCACTAAACTTCTCATTTAGCACAAAATTAATTGGAAAAATAAACACAGATTTAAATAATAATTGTTAGAGAGAGACTCGTTGGGGAAGACCAACCAGCAAAAACGGCAATAGCAAGAACTGATACTGAAGGAGGTAGTTCCTCTCTTCTGGTAGTGTCTGTACTCGCCTAATTGTGCTTGCAGGGTGGTTGAGCTTCGGCTCTTTGGTCCCGCCTCACAACTCTCAACTGATGTACAAGTTCCCGAGCCTATTCAGCTCTTATTATTTCTACATTTGAAACTGTGTATGGAGTCGGCCTCCCCCACATCACTGCCTAATGCATTCCATTGTAATGCAACCAATCATGCCTTCCGTAACTCTTCCGTCTTCCAGCGACTTGAGGTGAAATTCACGCAGCCATATTGCTCTCAAGATTTTTTTAAGTCCTTTTCTTGGAGGATTTCATGTCCCATTTGGTACTGTCTGGCCTCCTCCTCCTTCCACCTAGCTTCATTAGTTTACATTTACTTGAGTTAGACTCTAGTAGCCATTTGTTGGATCATACTTTGTTTATCCAAGTGATCTTGTAGCCCTATGCTCTCTCCTCTCTCTTAATCATCCTCACAATTTTAGCATTATCGCCAGAGAGGAATGAGTCTATTCCCTCTTGGAGATCGTTTACATATGAGAAGTAGGATAGGTCTAAAAACTGAGCCCTGTGGGTCTCTACTGGTGACTTTCTTGCCACACTGAGACCTCACCCCTCAGTGACTTCCCGTCTCCTGTTGCTTAAATACTCTTATCGACTGGAACACTTAACATATCACTCCTGCTTATTTCTTCAACTTGTGCACTAGTCTCCTATGGGGCACTGTGTCAAAAGCTTTCTAGCAATCCAACAAATATGCAGTCTACCCAAGCATAAGAAATATTGCCGGAACAACCGTGGACATTTTCAAGAGGAAACTAGATTTATTCCTCCAAGGAGTGCCGGACGAACCGGGCTGTGGTGGGTATGTGGGCCTGCGGGCCGCTCCAAGCAACAGCCTGGTGGACCAAACTCTCACAAGTCAAGCCTGGCCTCGGGCCGGGGTTGGGGGAGTAGAAGAACTCCCAGAACCCCATCAACCAGGTATCAACCAGGTACCCACCCTTCTCTTTCGTGTCTAATTTCTGTCTACTAACCATAGAATTTTATTTATCCTGCAAGGCAAAATTTGCCATCCATGAACCCATGCTGGTGGTGGTACAAAGTTCCTTCTCTCCAGATGTTATACTAGTTTATTTTCTCAGTCTTTCCCTCCCTTTCCGGCCCGTTGTTGGGAGGGGGCTTGGTGGGCGGCTGCCGGGGTGTGCTGCTCCGTACGACAGTCCTCTGTCTTTCTGAAGCCTTGTGCTCCTCCTGCTGTCTTAACTAATTGTGGTGGTTGATATTTCCTCTTCCTTATATTTCGTTTTTCTCCCCCGCTTCTCCTTTCTAATTGTCACTGCCCGCCGACCTTCTGCCAGTCTTGGTTATTCTTTCGGACATCTGTTCTGGCGCCCGGGTGTTGGGGT